TTGTTTCTGCCTTAACTTAATGCATTGTTTAACAATGAAACTGAAGCCGGGATATATACCTCACGCTCAGCACAGGGGCAATTCCAGGATTTTAAATAAATATGGGGGGAGGGGGGTGCCCTATTTAAACCCATTAAATATAAATTACACAGAGTTGCAACTTACAAGTAGCTATAGTGTTAACGTTATCACATTTTAATGTTTACCATGACACACCTTTTTTGGAAAAAGATTATGGTGCCTTAGTTAATCTCAAAAATGAATTAGAATTAGATTTAGAAGTTAATGCAAAACTGCCTTATGACCAATTTACAGTATTTTTTGTGTGTGTGTGTTTTGATTATTATATCTAAAATAAATAGCAACTCAATTTAATAATTTGCCCCCTGTTGTTAATTGTAATTAACCTTATTATATTAATGTGTAATTAAGGGCCCCCATTTAGTTTATATTAGCTTAGAATTGTTTTATCCTTTATCCTTATTTAAATAGAAATACACATTTTTGTAAAAAAAAAAAAAAAAAAAAGAAAGAAAAGCAGCAGCAATCTTGTGTTTAGTTTCCTCCCCCTTGCTGTAACGAACCGTGACTTCAATACCGAGGTAAGTACTGTCCAGTCATGTTTGTGCACTGTTACAACCCTAATATACATACATTATTACACACACACACACACATATATAGGGATGCACCGATACTGGTATCGGGCCCGATACCAAGTTCATGTACTTGTACTCGTACTCGTAAAAATACCCCGATACCAAAGACCGATACCTCACGCGACGTAACTGACAGAACTTTCCAGTGCACACAGAGACACCAGATGCAATGTCAGCCTCAGCAGTGTGGAAATATTTTCAAAATCAATGATGACGACCCACGCATGGCAATCTGCACGATTATTTCTGCATTAATATCGAGAGTAGGGCTGCACGTTTTCAAGTTTTTCATTAACCGTTAATACTCGGTTAACCATAGTGTGAGCGCTGCAACATCGAGATACAGAGTTAATTTTTAAAACCTTTAATAACTGGTTGGACCCCATTTGAAACGAATTAATTTATAGAAATAAAACGCAGTGATAAGTACAGAGCAGTTAAAGTAGGCACATTTCCATCACCCTTCAAACTGAAATTGCCAATTGAAAATAGCCTACAGAAACAAGTCCATTTCGCAAAAACTCAGTGTCCGCAAATAAATATTTATGATCATCATCATTATTGTAACATTTTATTAGGCTGCATATGTAGACGCCTTTATCCAAAAAAGGAACAAAGCACAAATAAACACAATATTTTGACGCATATCCAGTGTGTGTGCTTTAGGGCTGAAACGATTCCTCGAGTTACTCGATTACAAAAATTCCTCGAGGCAAAAAATCTGCCTCGAATCCTCGTTAAATTCCTATGACGCGCACTTTACGCGCACGCAGGCCCAGGGACCTGATTGTTTCACAAGGACCGTTATTCAGGAAGCACACCATAGCGCATGATACTTTTGACTTAATAAATGGCAGAGAATGTCTAAAGTTTGGGATCATTATATGTTTATAAAGGGAAAGAAAAAGGTGCAATGTGTCTGCAAAGTATACCTGGCAGGGCTGCCAACTCTCACGCATTCAGCCAGCGTGAGACTCGCGCAATTCGATTTCTCACGCTGAAGTGTCAATCCCTTCGGTCAAATGCCTGAAAGATGAGTTTGTCTATAGATCTACCTGTTGAGCCACTCGCGATCGACTAGTTTTAGGACGCATATTAATTCGCAAGTTAAAATATCCTGTAATCTAGTAGTGCGAGCGCGCATGCGAGATGTTGAGCTCCTAACCGCGGCTCACGCACGACGGCAGAGAGGTAAGCGAGCGCGTGCACCCATGTCTCTCTCATACGCCAGTCAGACCAATTGCGGCAATTCATCATATGCTTAGACTTTTATGTAGCCACGCAACAAAAATTTCAGCATACATTCACCGGGACGTGATGGAGGAACAAATATTGTGAGACACACGACACACACTCTGTTTGTCTTGAGATTACAGTTGAAAAAGTCTGATTGTTATGTATAATTGTTTTATTTCCATTTATTTTTTTTATAAATTGTACACATTTGTGTACCTGTTTGGGTTGATATTTTATATTAATTTATTTTTGTTTCCAGGTGGGTAATTTGCAGAAGGTGCAACCCTTTTTTTGTAATGTTGTATTAAGAAGACAAAACTAAGGACAAATGGGCTTTAAGTTTGTATTCAAAGTTTTACATGTTATGGGCTACATGTAACATGTTTTACAGTAAATTGTTTTAACTGTATTGTTATATAATTGTTGTTGGCACTGGCACTTATAAACACTAAATGGCTAAAAATTGCAATACTTAGTTGTGGAGCCAAATGTTGCTGTTGGAATAAATACCTCCCATCTTTTTAAAGAAATAAAAGCCAAACACCTTATCATTTTCGTAATACATTATTTGTTTTGGTTGCTTAAAAACACACATAAACAAATTATCCGATTACTCGATTAATCGATCGATTAAGTGCTAGATTAATCGATTACAAAAAGAATCGATAGCTGCAGCCCTAGTGTGCTTAGTGTCGAGCGTGCACGGATGGCTGCGAGACGCCCATGTGAACACTTGCAGTTTCATTGCAGTTCTTTCAGTGGAAACAACTTAAAATACTCTTTGATTTCTGGTCATACAGAAAATAATAATACATTATTGACAAATACATTTATTTGCGTAAACTCACAAAAACAAGAAAACGTTGTGCTTTAACAGCAGGCGCGCTTCATGAATCATGATCTCCGTGAACTGAAGCGCGAGAACTGAAACAGCCGCATTCGAATTTGTTCGTTTTAAATTGGACATTTAAAGCTTTAGCTATAAATGTCCAATTTAAAACTAACAAATTCGAATCGAAAGCCAATATCTTCTGACTATGTAATTATGTAGCCTAGCTAATTATGTATTTCTCTCTAAAGGTGGATCCGGGGATGGAGATTTGTTTTTAGCAGAAACTGATTTAGAAAACAATAGTTTATTAACAAACAATTAATGTCTCGTTATTTTATATTATTTTATTATCAGACACATTTATTATATCTTATAAATCATCTATAAATCTCCTTTCTGTAGGCTGGTTACGGCTCTACTCATTCATTACTGCGGGAAAATATAATTTCCAGGTTCTAATTTGGCCTCAGAAAACCAGTAAAATCTTTTTTTTTCCATATTCATTTGCCAAATATTTTAAATGTTTAAATGGGCAAAAAAAATCAAACAAATATCTGAAAATTCGTCGATATGTATAGCCTATAAATATCCTATATATTTTTGCGCAGCATTTGACGTAGTCCTACAGTTCAAATGAACATTTTGGTGTTCAACTTTGCGTTTTACAAAATAACCATTCATTTTTCGTTTTGCAATTAGGCCTACGGATTAAATAAGGGGAGACTAATGAACACAAAACAAGTACACTGACCGTTTGGACATAATACGAGGCAGAGTTCTTTTTTTTTTTTAAATCATAAAAGGAATAGCCTACTAGACAAAACCTCAAAGAAATGCCAAAATCAAGACCTCGGAGCAGAAATGAGGGAGAAACACAAAGAAACTCTGTGTCTTTGCCTGCCATTAATGCTTGGATGACACACGACGTCTCCTCACATAAATAATAATAGGCTAATGTCTAGTGCGGTGGTTGTGATATAGACCGTTGCCATTATTTTTGGAATGACTTTTTGCGAAAGAAAAAAAATGCTTTAGTCGCATAACATCTTTAATAGAAACGCTGTCATTTCACAATATTTTTTTATCGACATTCAGAAAAAAAAAAACGCAAACGTTTTGTGCAAATGTATTGACGCCACAATTTTAAACGGTTAATCGGTTAACCGGTTTTAACCATTAACACCCCTATTTGAGAGGAGGTACAAAAGCCAGTATAATACAAGTAACTTGATAAAACATCTGAAATTTAAATACAAAAGTGAGCACGGTGAATTTGCCACTAGCAGTAGCACTCTGCAACAAACTTTGCAGCAAACCTTTTCAAGGCAAGAGAAAATGTCAAAAGATAACCCAAGAGCAATATAAAAATAACAGAAATGCTTACCCAATTCATTGTTCTTGAAAATAAACCACTCTAAATTTATTGGTTAAAGTTTGTTGTTAAAAAAATAAAGATGCTTATATGTTCATTAGTCTCATTGTGTTGTTCTTAGAAAATCAGACATCGGTATCGGTATCGGCGAGTACCAGGAAAAAAATATCGGTACTCGTACTCGATCCTTAAAAAGTGGTATCGGTGCATCCCTATATATATATATATATGCTATATTACACGCTAGTAACTATATTGTAGTATTTACTACACTTTGGATGGAAGACCATACCCTGTCCATAGAGGATTTCAGTGGTAAGTCTATTGTAAATGGTCAATTCACTTACTAGCTAATTAGTGATTGATCATTGGTCAATAAGTAAGGCAGCTGCTTCAGCAGCATAACGGTAAACCAATGTCACTGTACTCCAGCTGTAAACCTGCAGGGTTTAGACCCAATAAATTATTATCTCAATGAAGATTATAGATGGGTTAGCTTGTGTGTGTGTGTGTGTGTGTGTTTCAGGAACTGCCAATGTTCAAGTTACTGATTCTGCAAAAAATTTAATTAAAGAATTTATAATAGTAAACAGTTTCTTCAAAAAAAAACCAGCCAAGAACAAAAAGAAGATTTTTAAAATAAATAAATAAATAGCTTCTTAAAATGTTGTTTGGTGTTATTAATTTTTAAGGATTTTGCATGCATATTATTGGTACATGTTTGCCCCCCTGATCTGTGCTGTTACGACAGTAATATTGTAGTATCATATACTAGGCTACAGTTTATAAGACCCCCGGTATAATGTGATTATTAGACATGAGTGATCATCAAAATCAACAAACATTCAGCTAGCCTCACGCTCTGTTTACATCTTTACATTTTGTAGCTTCACCTACACACATCTAACGTTATGCACGTAACGCTATAGCTGTTATCCAACCTGAGAGGCGTCGTCGAGATGTCCGTGTCCATGGTTGTGTTCCACACCGTCAACCTCCACCTCAAACACCCCTGCCATCTTTACACTTACAAGCCGACTGTTCAAGACACTTCCGGGTAACGGCATAGCGGGTTACACCGTCTTCTTCTTCTTTTTCCGTTTTTGTGCAAGAAAACTTTAACACAATGTATGTCCGCCACCTACTGAGATGGAGTATGCAGCGTCTTCTTTTTTTTTTTTTTCTTTTTTTTTTTTTAACAACAAATCACATATTTGTGATTTATATATATTTATATATTTTCCAAATTATTCCAACGCATCATGCAATATAAAACATTAAAGTTAACATTCTTATCAATGAAAAGAACATTAGAATTACATATAAAAATAAAAAAAGAAACATAACACAACATAAAGGAGGTAGGTATACAGTATATATAATTACATTAAATAAGAGGAGTTCAATTCTTTGAGGATGTCCATCGTTCTGGTTGCTTTGCGATTTGAGAGACCTTTCAGTGTTTCAAAGTAAATTTTCAAGTCAGCTTTAAAGTGGCAAATGTTAGGTGTCCTTCCAGACCATTTACATTTATGTATGTAAAATTTACCAAGAAATAAGATCAAATTTAACATAAAAATTAGACTCTTGTTTATATCTTTTTTACCATAATAAAAAAAACATCTCTTTTACCAATGCAAATTTTTACTCCCCTTAACATATTAAATAAATATTCCACATCAATCCAAAAAAACCTCACAAACATACATTCAAAGAAAAGATGTAAAACAGTTTCAGTATCCTTTTTACAAAATGTACAGAGTTCAGAAAGGTCATTTTTATATCTTTTTAGGAACTCATTTGTTGGGTAAATCTTATGTATAATTTTAAAATATATTTCGTATACTTTGTTATTAATACAGTATTTATTAGAATAGGTCCAATTTAATCTCCAATTAATATTTTCAAAATGTTCATTCCAAAAGAATTTATTTCGAGGTGTAGCAGGGCAGTGAATCAAGCATCTAAAGAATTTATTATTACATTTAATATCTTTTATATCTACACCGTTTAACAAAACCTGTTTTTTAAACATTGACTGCTTATGAGGTTCATTACTGCCTCTCAAAAGACTCAAAAAACCTACTGGTATTGCGTCAAAAACAATACTATATTCTCGTGGAGATATTGGGATCCCAAATAGGTTTAAAAATTCAGCATACGTAAGTAAGAAACCCTTGTTATTTATCAATTGCGAAATCATTAGAATATCATTTTTAACCCAATTGTCGTAGAAGATTGATTTATTCTTATATTTAACCATTTTATTGTTCCATATTAACTGTTTGTGGGGGGGGGGGGGATTATGCTTGTAAATAAGAAGCCAACATAAAAGAGCCTATCTATGAAAATTGGAGAGCTTAATGGGGAGCTTGTTAACCTCAAAGTCATATTTTAAAAGAAACTCTATACCCCCAACTTTCTCAAAAATAAGATTTGGAATTATATACCATAGTTTATCAGTATGCTTAATATAATTTTTAATCCAGTTCAACTTGAAAATTGTATTAGAAGTATCAAAATCAAGCACATTTAAACCTCCTTGAGTATAAGAATTACATAAAATATTTTCATTTAAATAGTGTGACTTATTTTTCCATATAAAGTTGAATACGTTTGAATCAATTTTTTTAATATAGGATTTTGGTATATCCAACACTTTTGCAGGATAGACCAAACGAGACAGCCCCTCAGTTTTGGACAGAAGAACTCTACCTTTGAGTGATAAATCCCGCATGAGCCACATATCAAATCTCTTTTTGATTTTCACCATAAGAGGTTGGAAATTAGATTGCACTCTGATTGATTGATTTTTACAGATCTTGATACCAAGGTACGTAACCTCCTCCCTAACCGGTATACCTTCAAATTCAGTTAAAGGAATATCATTGTCTTTAAGTGGAAAAAGAGTACATTTTTTAACATTTAAAGATAAACCTGAAGCTTTAGAGAATATATTGAGACATTCAATAACTTTTTTAACCTGTGATATATCTTTTAAGAATATAGCTGTATCATCAGCCAGCTGACAGCATTTAATTTCTTTTTCCATAATTTTGATGCCTTGAAATGTGTCATTATGTATATATAGAGCCATAGTTTGCATGACCAGAAGAAATAAGAAAGGAGCCGCTGGATCTCCTTGTTTTATGCCCCGGGAGATGCTGACTCTACGAGTAGTTCCCCATGGAAGTTTAACTGAACTATTGCAGTCATTGTATAAAGTTTGTATTTCCCTTTTAAAGTATTGACCAAAACCAAAAAAATCTAATGCATCAAATAAAAAATCATGTTTCACAGTATCGAAGGCTTTGTATATGTCTATAAATAAAATGTAACTATTATCGGTTATATAATCCTTATAATCAATCAAATCTAAGATTAAACGAATATTGTTACTAATATGCCGTCCTTGCATAAAACCAGACTGACTATCGTCTATTATAGTATCTAAACATAACTTTATTCTTTGTGCAAAAATATGAGCCAACAATTTTGCATCATTATTAATTAAGGTTATAGGTCTCCAATTGTCAAGAAGTAAACCTTATTGGGTTTAGGTAACAATGTAATTAAGCCTTGACACATAGTAGGGGGAAGCCTACAATTTTCTATAGCCTCCTTAATAGTAAGAATTCAGAAATGTAGTCTTGCAATGCTTCATAAAATTCACCTGTTAGGCCATCATTCCCTGGGGATTTATTATCTTTTAACTTACTAATGTTCTTTTTTAATTCTTCTAGGGATATATCTTGATCACAAATGTCCTTCTGAGTTTCATCAATACTTTGAGCCACACTTTTTATACAAGAGAGGAAATATGAGCTTTGACAACTGTTGTGTTCGGAATATAGTTTTTTATAAAAATCTTCCACAAAGTTAGAGATTTTTGAGGGGTCTTCAGAGATCTGGTCAAACATTTTGAGCTTATATACTGTTAACACTAACGTTTCTTTTTTCTAAATTATGAAAATACTTTGTATTCCTTTCACCATGCTCTATCCATTTTCGCCTATAGAACGAATAAAGGCTCCCTGTGCCAAATTTTGATAGATATTATCCAATTTAGCTTGTAATTCAAATAAAATATTAATGTCAGCTTGTGATTGCTCATTGCTCATATATAGAGATTATTCCTTTGACTATTCCATCTTGTCTCATTCTTTTTTCCTTAGATAATTCTTTTGCCCTTTCAATGGCCATATTACGGATCTGAAATTTTGTATATTCCCAATGTTTGCCAAATTAATTTTCTTTTTTTGCTTCTATCAAGTTATCATTTATAATTTTTTTGTCTTTTTCTTTGAAGACTGTATCACTCAAAATTGTGTTATTTAATTTCCAATAATTTGGTTTATATTTTATTGAATGACCTTTTATACGTATTACTAAGGTAATCAAATTATGATCAGAAAAAACTGAGGGTTCTATTTTGGTTTCTTCCACATTGTCTAACAACTCATTTGAAATGAGCCAGAAGTCAATCTCTTAGATACATTTTTTGTTATTCCAAGTGAACTGGATTTGCTGTGGATTTTTTAGTCTCCATATGTCACAACAGTTTAAATGCATACATAGATTATTAAACTCTCCATAGTTACCTTCTAAGGATCTTTGAGGTTCACAGTCTTTCATGGGGTCACTTATGCAGTTCCAATCACCCCCCAAAATTAATTTAGCGTTAATAAAGGAATTCAATAAGGCATTTATTTGTTCATCAAATTCTACAAAAAGGTGTGTGTTTTTATGACTATTATTATGACCGTATATATTACCCAAAATGAAAATATTCTCCATAAATTCAATAACTAAAATAACCCATCTTCCTAAATCATGAACAACGTTTTTAATGATTTTCCCCTGATAGGAGCCCTTTAATATGGCAACGCCAGCAGACTTACTGTTTCCATAAGCCATCCAGATATTGTCTCCCCACTGATTTTTCCAAAAATTTAAATCTGAAGCTAAAGCATGTGTTTCTTGTAGAAAATAAAAATCTGCTTTGAAAGTTTTACAAAATAAAAATATAGCTTTCCTCTTAGTCAGTTCTCGTATACCCCTCACATTGAATGAATAAAAAGACAAAGACAACTTGAAAAGTAAAACAAAGTTAACCCAAAAAAAACAAAAAAAATTGAGTTTTAGAAGTAACAAAAAGGGTAAATGATTTTCTTCACCTTTTGAATACTGATTAGAACAAGCAAACTTGGGATTATAATCTGACCTTTTAACTGTCAGACATTAAATATAATAGCACAATACCAGATGTAATTAGAATACAACTGAACTTCTCAACGAAAGTAGGCCTACATAGCCTACATAGCTACATAGGCAACTTCACTATTAGACCACATCAGAGCTATCATTACATTTTAACTTCTTTACCCTCAATGATGGCTTTGGCTCCAATGAAGAATGCTCTTTTCCCTTGCTTCCGTGCCTCTTCAATCTGTGGCCACAGTTTAGTGCGAGTCTCTTTGTCTTTCGTGGTCAAATCTTCTCCAAATTTTAACTTCTTTATTTTGAGGAATTCCGAATTCTTGGCGCATTTCCATACTACAAGCTCGATCTTGTTGTGAATCTTGTTATCACCGGTCGAGTTTTACCGTCCTCTCTCCTCCCGATCCTATGGCTTACATCAATTTGGAAGCGGAGATCCTCTTCAGGGTCTTCAATGACTGCCTTACAGATGTCAATCACACGCTGTTTAACGTCCTCTCCTTCCTGCTCTGGCAAGCCGTATAACCTCAAGTTCCATCTTCTGTGATAGCGTTCCATTTCGTTCAATCTGTCTTCCAGGCCTGTTATTCTCTTCTGATGGTGATCACTTGCATTTTTAACCGTTTTTATTTCGGTTTTCATGTCTTGAACTTCGTTGAAGAGAAACTCTGAAGATTCCTTTAAGGCTTCGATGGTGTCCGCGTTTTTCTTTATTAGACCTGCAAGATGGTCCGCGTTCTCTTTTATCTTTTCAGCTACAAGCCTCACAATGTTATCTTGCAGTTCGGAGAGTGTAGGTTCAGCTTTACCTTTCTTCGCGACTGGAGTGCACGGA